TTAGAGGTCACAGACGGAGCTACCTTGTTGATTTCACGGAGTCTTGGGAAATCCGACGAGGCCAATCTGTGCGCAGAAGATCCACTAACAATGTGGAGCAGCGTGAAAGAGTCTGGCTGTTCTTGTTGGTGGTCCACAAGACTTGAGAGTTTCGAGCATTTCCTTGTTGATTTTTATTGGACGTCACTCTCACCAACCGCCATGTTGTCCTTCAGGTATTTTACCACATAAAAAATCGCCTCTGCAGATGGTTGACTGCTACCCTATCTATACTCTCATCTGCGACGTTTTAAAACAATATTTTAGCTTAGGAGCCGAGGTTACCCTGCTTTCGTGCTGCAACACCTGGGGTTGGATGTGACTGGCTAATGGCGGCTCATAAGCCAGAAATGGCCGCTGCAGTTTTCCTATTCTTTGTCTGTATTGTCATTCTGCCTAGATCATTAGCCACTGTGTACCTGCTGACGGGGTTCTCGAGAGAATTCGAAGGTACTACGGGCGAGTCGGCGGGTGCCTTTCTACGATGGTGAACAAAATATCTTTTACTCAGAGAGCTAACCGCTGCTATTATCACCGTTTGGCTATTACTAATCGTTGGAGTAGGAAAATTATATGCTTCATCGTGGTTTTCTCCTGGCTGAAGCAGATTCGAAATGTTGGGCTGGTTTAATTCCATGTTCGTAGAGATTGTGCTATGCATCTTGCAGAACTCATTCCCGATACCATCAGTCAATCGAGTCATTTTGTCAGAACTCCGTTTCCTTGGATCCATTTGTGAAAAAAAGCCGTGGCCTCAGTGGGATTCTAACCCACGACAGTTGTTACACAATCAGGTCTACAGAACGCCCGTTGTGATTTAGTCGCTCCTGACAGATACTCTGCAGATTTTTTGCAGTCGGAACTATATAGTTTTAGCTGAAAATGACTTTATAAGGATGACTGTCTGCTTTTGTGTGAAAAAGTTGTTGCAGATAGCTAAACGGAAGCCGTGGCAATGAAATATTGCTTGAGCCGGTCAAAATTTGTGCCTTCTCATAATTCATCGATCTCTGCCAAAAACCAATGGAAGCCCTGGCTGAACCCTCATAGAACCATTGAAACAACGAGGTGATCAGGCGCGATCGGACATACGTAATCAATTGAGTGTTGTCTGCAACTACCACATGAGCGCTGGGTTAGTTGGTGTCACCCGGGTTACCGGAAGAAGTATTTGTAAGGACTAAGTCGTTCAGCGTTACGAACTTAACACCCATTCATTCACCATTCATTTAATGCTTTTCTGACCGGCTTCTGTCTGCTTGTCAGACGTAGGAGCCTGTTTACTTCACAGTCTTAACCTACATCCCATAGAATGGTCGCAAACACAATTCAAATCCTCTGCCTTTGCCATTACCACCCGTTAGTACACTATGTGAAGACTTCATACCGCCGAGTACATATTAGCCACAGTGCACTGTAGAGCCCTATCTCTATTCAATCGGTTCAGACGAAACGTCATTTCCAGATTTTCTATCTTTGTTGAAGATTGATGGTATAGAAGAGACCGTATCCCAAATAGGACGTACAGTACCTTTCTTTGGAAGGCTATCTAGGACCGCGGAACATATCGCTCGCAGTTCAGAGATTGGTGTCACGCAACACTCGGTAGTTGCAGTCTACGACAAAGTCATTCGCATTCACCACATGATATATTTCAGTTTCCTCGGAGAGGCAACTTCATTTCCCTACATTTTCGAGACTTATTTCTCAATGTACTATTATAAATGGAAAATGTACCTGACGAAAAACCCTGCTGTGTCATGATTAGTCGTCTACTTGTGTTTGATAACTGTATACGTCGCATAGAGAATGACATGAATAAAACCGGCTGACTCAACCGAGTACATTCGTCCTAGCACTTCACCGGCCTTTGTTGATTAGTAGCCGTCCAGTCTAATTCGGACTTCATTTCCAGGGTACTTATCATGTTGAACAGTAGGTATCATCTCCTAGTCGTTAGGTGGCACTCCTTTATCCTCTTTGGTCACGGCGAAGTGCAGTGGGTTATTTGCCGAAGATCCCATGCTGTCCTTGTCCAAGTAACCACCACCTCCTGTTAATGTTGTTTAGATTTTCCTGATCCAGTGCTCGCTTATTCACCAAAATAGACGCACCGAGGCCAACAGACAGTCGGAATAATTAGGATATTCTTTGTGATTCTATACTATTAAACAACAAGGTTAATAGTGCACGATAATTAAAATGGGGGATGGAAACCAAAAAGAGGATGGACATAAATTTGAGGTGATTAAAAGAACAGTCGTGCGAGTAACACAGACGCGTGGCTGGGGTTTATAGGCAAACAAGGGCAAGGGGAATCGATAAATGACTAAACGGGAACAAGGACGCATGCGTCGACTAAGTCGTATTACTAGCACTAATATGACATTGAAGTGCTGAATGACACACCGCCC